CAAAAATTTCGGTCCACCCCCAGATGGTGGATTTCAGGCTTGGTCGCAGGTTGCTCTCGCACACTTCGTCATCTTCAATACATGGGGCTACATCAATAGTTTCGGCGTCTTCCAAACATACTATTCCCAAACACTGGGACATCCACCTTCGGATATCTCCTGGGTTGGGAGTATTCAGATCTTTCTGTTATTTTTTATTGGCACTTTCTCCGGCAGAGCCACCGATGCCGGCTATTTCACATTTACCTTGGCCTGCGGTGCTATTCTTGAATGCTTTAGTATCTTCATGACCTCGCTCTGCACAAAGTATTGGCAGCTATTCCTGGCACAGGGTGTTGGCCAAGGTATTGGGTGTGGACTCATGTTCTGTCCAACCTTGGCTTTGGTCTCGACTTATTTCGCCAAGAACCGTGGCATCGCTATTGGGATCGTTGCGTCGGGTTCTGCGACAGGAGGTCTGGTCTTCCCGGCTGTTATCATGAAGATGTTGCCCCAGGCTGGGTATGGGTGGACAATCCGGACGCTGGGCTTCATCTCAGTAGCCACGCTAACTCCCTGTGTCCTGTTCCTCAAGCAACGTCTTCCTCCGCGCAAGAGTGGTCCACTTGTTGAGTGGGCTGCCTTCACCGAGCTGCCCTATGTGTTGTTTGCGATTGGCATGTTCATGAACTTCTGGGGCCTGTATGTTGGGTTTTTTTACATCGGAAGTTTCAGTCGTGATATCATCGGCGTGTCAAGCGATCAATCCATTAATTTACTTCTGGTCATGAATGGAGTCGGATTGGTAGGACGATTGGTTCCCAATCTGCTTGCTGATCAGTTCACCGGTCCTCTCAACCTGTTGATCCCATTCAGTTTCGCAACAGCCTTGGTTGGTTACTGTTGGGCGGCAGTCAACGGTATGTCTGGGCTATGGACATTTGCCGCGTGTTATGGCCTCTTCGCTGCAGGCATTCAATCATTGTTCCCAGCAACTCTCAGCACCCTCACTACCGATATGAAGAAGATTGGTGTACGTATGGGAATGGTGCTCAGTGTGGTGGCAGTGGCGGCCCTTATAGGGTCTCCTATTGCCGGTGAGCTAGTTGTTCGGGATGATGGAAACTACCTTTATGCCCAAATGTTTATGGGGTCTGCGATCTTCCTTGGAGGATTAACATTGGTCGGAGCTCGAGTGATCAAGGTGGGTACTGGATTAGCTCGAGTTTGAAAAATAGTGAATATTATTATGTTGGTTTGTTGGTATGTTGTACATGAAATGATGTCGAGGTTGTGTTATGAATTTGACGAGGAAAAAAAAAAAAAAGGGTTTCCCCACATGATTTAATATAACTTCAATGTTCCCTTTACCACTTCTCTCTATCTTTTACAACATTTTGATTTGATTTTTATATATAAAGTAAGTCGACTTTATTTTTCGACTGTGAACACCCCACACTTGCCCCTCCATTGTGTGTGCGGAACCTCAAAAAAACAACCCGCTCATTCTCCATAGATACCCTTGCAAAGTTCCTATTTCATAATCAATATGGCACCCCGCGGTCGTGGAGGAAAGTTCTCCAAGCCCTCTCGAGGAGGTATGTCGTGTGAACCTGAGTACGAGACATTTGCTGATCAATAGATAGGAGGCAAGCACTTCAGCAGAGATCTTCAGCCATTAGACAAGGATGGGAACCAAATGGGTCTTTGGCGGGTAAGTGGACTTCAAACCCCGCAATTTATACACAAGCTGATCATGATATCTCTCCTAATAGGAACCTGGTGAGCAAATCAAGTCATCTGGCGACGAAGATTCTTCATCCGAAGAAGAAAGCTCCGAAGAATCTAGCGAGGACGAGTCCAAGCCCGAGCCATCCACAACCGAAGGAACCCGTGAGGAGCGTCGCGCAGCTGCCAAAGCCAAGAAGGCAGCCGCATTGAAGAAGCGAGGCCAAGGACCCGCCCAACCGGGCGACTTACCCCCCTCAGACTCGGAAGAATCCGACAACGAGCTCCCCGCCAACCCTAACCATACTGCCAAGTCCCGCTCGCAAACCCTGAAGGCAGTCGGAACTGAGCCCACTGAGCCCAAGAAGCCCGCCAAGGTCAAGGATATCTCGCAGCTGTCCCGACGCGAGCGTGAGGCCCTCCAGGCCCAGCAAGCCCGCGAGCGTTACCAGAAGCTGCATGCCGAGGGTAAGACCGATGAGGCGAAGGCAGACCTAGCTCGTCTCGCCGTTATCCGTGAGCAGCGTGAGGCGGAGCGCCTGCGCAAGTTGGCCGAGAAGGAGGAGAAGGAGGAGCAAGCAAAGGAGCGTGCTAGTGCTGCCCAAGAGCGGGAGGATCGTATGCGCGCTGCAGCTTTGGGAAAGAGTTCTAAGAAAGTTGGTGGAAAGAAAAAATAAGCTGGATTTTCGATTTATATGTGGTCATGACTTAGTTGGATGTTTACACGCCCAGACAAAAACAAAAACAAAAAACATTTGAGATATTCCTCACATTGGAATAAATCTGTAGAGAATATACCATGTAAATTGAAATGTACACCGACGCCTAGCATTAGATAAACACCTTTTTAAGCTGGTATTTCCAAGAATGCAGCCAATTAGAAGGGAAAAAAAAGAAATCAAAGGGCAAAAAGAGATTTCAAGTTTCATACATGAAACTAAAATCCCAGGAAGACATAAGTCAAAGAAAAGAGGTCTATTTTTGCGGGAAGTTTACTACTTCACACGCCCCAGAACAACCCCACAACGCTGCGGCCTTGCATGACAATGCCCCAACCGGCAATTAGGCTGACTAGCCATAGAATGGCGAAAATGATGATGGGAACAAGCAGAAGTTCCGTGTTGTGCAAGAAAGGAAGAGCATTGTACCCCAAGAAAGTGATGTAGGTGTAGTAAATGAGAGCAGAGAGGTAGAGCGAGTTTCCGAGGAAAGTAGCTAGGAAATTACTCGGGCTACGGGTGAGGAGCGGTAGGAGGAGGAACTGCACCACGTAGAGGTGAAGATAGAGAGGAAAGAAGGCCCGGTTGGACACCTATACAACGGCCAGTGTCAGATGGGAAATTCCACAGGATTTGTGACAGTCTTACATCAAAACAATATCCAAACTCCAATTGATCTTTCTCCCCTGGCTGGGTAAACAAGCCTTGAGCAGCACCTCGTCTTCGGCCACGGGATCCCCGCAGGCCAGCCAGAGATGCGGCAGCTCCGTTCGGACCGAATAGACGGCCAATGATAAAGTATCCAATTGTTGAGACGAGCAGTGACGAGCCGATGAAATGCACGAACACGAAGAGGAAGGTAAGGCGTATGATTGCGCCGAAGCCCGGCGTATAAGCGAGGCCCCATGCGAAGGCTGTGAGAAGGAGGAAGAATGATAGTAGGTAGGTGAATGATGGATCAGGTCGGTGCCATGTGTTTTTGGTTTCTGTTCGGTATCAATAGTTGCTCAGCTAGGTCGATTTGTAACAGGCGTTGCTAGGGTTGTAGGGTGTTTGGGTCTATCGCACGGAGTGCTTGGAATAAATAGACTTACGTTTCTTGATCCAAGGACATGGTTAGTTCGAGGGAACCCAGTTGGGATAGTCAAAGATCAACTTACATGGTAGTATATCGATTTGAAGACTTTCTTAGGTGCGATCAATAACGAGGTCATCTCCCAAATAGCCATCTCAAAGTCCATCTGTGGAAATTTGAAGAGCCTATCCCATATTAGTTGTATTTCGTGTCGAGGTTCGTTGGTGTCCTACCTCTTGAAGAAGCGCGGCATGCGGACGCTAGACCGGGTTGCGGGTGTTGAGCCAAAGTGGGCCGGGCCGGCATGTTGGCGGGGGACAGAAATGTGAGGGTTCATGATTTTATACCCCGTTTTCGAGAGGGATATCAGTTTCGGAGCATACACAATGCAGTCCGGTTGTTGTACGTGTATCCGATGCTAGTTGGGTCCGGTTATGTCATCTTGGTCACGTGTTGTATATATATCCCTAGGTCATTTATTTTTATTTTTATTTTTATTTTTTGGAGTATACGTATAAATATTATGTACGGAGTATGTGTTTCTAGTTTCTAAGAGAGATAAGTACATATAATATATCTCTTATCTGCTCGAATTCGAAGCCTAAATGGGTCTTAAAATAATCAATTCTTCCCAATTGTGGAAAATGCTTCCTCTCCAGGGAATCCACTCTGTAAGGGGCTAAAAGATACATACATCATAGCCAATACTCCGTATAGTTGTTAGCCATTGAGATATTGTAGTATAAGTCTGGGACTGATATTTATGTAAATTTCTATAACATACTTACTACTTCATATATACTACGGAGTGGTTTACTTCTCAATTCATCACGGAAGTCTATACAAATCATCCGATATAGCTTCTCCCCCGCGGCTCCACTCGTGTACTTTTGGTATATGTTGTATTGAAGGGGTTATAATAATAATCATTGATATAAAAAGTGTAATATCTAATATCTAACTGTATGAGAAGTGTATAAGTATATAAACACTTTAATATGAAACCCCTGAATGTGCTAGCAAAGATCCTAAAAAGTAAATTCTCCCCTATTTCTATTCAGTTTCAACATATATTTCTCATTAAATTTCTTATATATTTCTTATATATTTCTCATATATATTAAAATCATATATATTAGTCCCACAGTTCACCGGAGTCTTAAAAGTTCCCGCCAAACCTCCGACTTTCAGGAGTTTCCCCCCGTTTCTTAGCTCTGCATTACTCGACCTTGTTGGCAAAACCCTTTTACATTCTTTTTTTTTTTTGAAATTATTTTTTTTTTCTCTCTATTTTTCCTCTCCCTTGCTGGACAATGACCAAGTGAATTAATTATTCTATCCGTCAAATCGGATGTAAGTTAAGACCATTAGGTATCTCCCTGATATCTGGTACGTTGCAGATCTAGCACCGGCTCCAATTCCCCTGGATTTCTTTACGATGAACTTCCTTCCCCCTTACTTCGATAGTCTAGAAGACATTAACTTTGATTAGCGCGATAATGTCCCAGCAACGGGAAACGTACTCTCCTCCCCGTACACCTCCCTCCCAAACCGCGAGATACAGGCCCTCCAAGCGTGGGTATCCAACTCGACCATCAATCCGTGATGCTTTCCCAGACGCCATGGACAACCCCCCAAGAACCAGTGAGTCGGGAGATGATCGAGATCCGCATGATCTCTCTTTATCCCCGCAACATGCTACACGGACGTCAATCGTCGACAACATGCTTCTTTCGCTCGATCAATTCGCCCCAAGTTCATCTATCCTAGACGACTATCGCCTTTTCAATTCCGCCTTTGAAATCGACAACAGTCATTACTCCCAAGAATCTGATTCCCACGGCCGGTACCGCGGACACACATTTTCCTCGTCAATGTCCTCAGAACCAGACTACGGGTACGAAGATGGAAATAGCCGATATGCAACAATCACGGCGACCAAGGGCCGGCGCAGCAACAGCAGTTCTAATCACCAGACGACACCGAGACAGATGGGAAGCTCGCGCGGTGGTACCGGAACCATGCCACGAACAAACACTGCCCGAAACGGCAGCAAAGGAAGCTCATCCTCCATTGCGGACTACTCATACACCGTTCCTAGAGCACGAACGGATCAAGGCTTGGATCGACGCTCAGCCAGCTTCGATTGTGGACCAAAACGAGCGTTCGCACCTTATACTGATAGTGTCGGTCAGGAATCGACACTGTATGACGACCACGATGCTGCACCCACTCCCAGTGTCCCAGCAGGACCGAGAAAGGCCCACGATTATAATAGGACACCAACAGCTACTTCCGCGCGGACGCCGATAGCATCACGACGGAACAGTATGAAATCTGCTCATGCCCCTCAAGTTCGAAAGGTTCGGCCCGAAAACATAGGCACGGGGACCCTCCGAGCTCGGGACAATGATTTCCAGGATGTGGATGAGACTGAGCTTGACCTCCCTCCGGCCATCCCGGCGTCGTTGGATCCTCCTGCTCCTAGCCCGACCATCTCCTATAACAAGCCAGCTTTTCCTCCTCCAGAACCAACGGCAACTACCACGATCTCGACCAATGTCCCCATCAACCATCCTGCTCCAAGCACAAAAGAACGTCCCGGTTTCTTCCGGCGTGTCTTTGGATCTAAGACACCAGCCCCTGGACCGGCAGATACATCAGGTATAAACGCCAATCTATCACATCTACAAGACACCGAGAGTAGAGACAATGGGGCGACTGCCAGCCTAAAGGGGCGACCTGCCCAGGGAGCCAAGAGCTCCGCGGGCGTTTCTCCGTCCTCTGTTCGCACAGGGCCCCATCAGGTCGTGAACAAGAAACCATCGTTCTTCCGTAGAAGAAAGAGGTCGGTGCCTGACCATGCTCCTCCGCCAATTGTAATTCCTCAACATCTTGCTCCTCAGACTATGGATACTATGGCAGCTCCAAGTCCTGTGAGCAGCCTGCGGCAGGTCATGAATCCTTACCTCGACGAGGAACTAGACCGGAAAGAAAATGCGGACTGGGAGGTCAAGATTCGGCAACCGGGATTTTTGCAGACGCAGAAGAAAAGAGAAAGTGTTTCAGCTCCTGGAGCTCCCAAAGCGAAGACTTCTCTCCAGCCTTCTGCTGCCTCCCATGACCAGGACCTCTCTCCCGTTGCGGAGAAGGATCGTACTTCGAATGGTGACGTCTCCACAGACTTTGCCTTGCAGGAGAAGTCTCAGAATGTTGCTGCCTCTGCTACTCTGTCTCCCGTCGCGGAAGATTTCTCACGTGCCATAAAATCAAACGTCGAAGTTCCTCAAATTGATGTAGCTACATTGGCGCTTCCATCTGAAGACGTGGTTTGCGGATCCCCTGTTGATTCTATGTCAGCATCATCAAACTATCAGACCGCTGCGAACACCCCACTCATTGAGCAGGAAGAGCTTCAACCAGTCGATGACAGCGAGGATCAGGTAGATGGACCCGGCGAAGCTGTTGAAGATGGACCAACAGCCGCGGATCGAGAACAAGCTCAAAGGCTCTTTGACAGCCAGGATCAGGTGGTGGGAAACGAGTCTGCTGCCGCTTGGTTGGGTGACCCCGATCGGGCAATGGTTCGCGAAGCGTACATGCGACTGTACAACTGGTCTAATCTCAACATTGTTGCATCTCTCCGGGCTCTTTGTGATCGTTTGGTGCTCAAGGGAGAAACCCAACAAGTGGATCGAGTGCTGGACGCATTTTCGACCAGATGGTGTGATTGCAACCCGAGTCATGGTTTCAAAGCTACTGATGTTGTCCATACCATTTGCTATTCTATTCTGCTACTGAATACTGATCTGCACTTGGCTGACATCGATTCAAAAATGACAAAATCTCAATTCGTTCGAAATACTATGCCCACTATCCATCGAGTGGCAATGGATTCCGCACCGGAAAAATTTGAGACTCTGCGTCCAATCAACCGCTCCAAGACCCAACAGCATGAAGTGCACCCTGCCCCTACATCCGCACGCTCTGCTCCTACGTCGGCACGTTCTGCAACTTTCCCCTCAGAGCTCACCCGCAGCTCGTTTGACAAAGATGCTGATGCCAACGTTGATGCTGGGCCTTTGGTTAACACGCCATTCACCGGAACAGTGAGAGCCTGGGAGCAACAGGTTGAAGCGGTACTTAAAGATTTCTACACATCTATCCAAAAGGAAAGGCTTCCTCTGTTCGGTGCTCAGCCAGAACGTGAAGTATCTCGCATGTCGTCCAACAACTTTTTGGGCCCCTCTAGCGGTACTCTGCGTAGGAGTCCCAGCACAATTAGCAAGAGCGGTTCCGATATCTTCCCTCGCGGCCGTTCTGCTAATTCAAGCCATGGAGCTGCCCGGTGGTCATCTAAACCCCGCTCTCGAGCTGGGAGGCTTTACCCCCCCTCGATGATGGGCTCTAGCCGTACTAGTCTAGACGACCAATCAGTCTCCAGTCCGACTGGGTCCAGTACCTGGAGTAAATATTCTTTGGGCAAGTTCACTTCGGCGTCTGTGGACTCCTTTGGCTCAGACTTCCCACGCGGCGAATATCAACAATCTATTGGTTTTGCCAACGCTTTGAGCCAGGCCATCATTCGGGAGGACTCTGCTACCTCGGTATACAGCTACGAGGAGCCTGAGCGGACAACTCCTTTGCTTGAAGATGATACGTTGGCTCTAGCCGGAGCCCCGTGGGCCAAGGAAGGAAGCCTGAAGCATAAGCATCACCTAGATGCGGTGGACAAACGGGCGAAGGACCGGAACTGGAATGACTGTTTTGCTGTTATACAGCAAGGCTGGATGCGTCTTTTTTCGTTCAATAACTCCACCAAGTCCATGCGGCAAAAGTCTAAACAGCGCGGAGGGGTTATCGTCGGTGGCGGCAACTGGACGGAAAATGCAGAAGAGCTCTGGAAATTCATGCTGCGCCAAACCATCGCCAGTGCCTTACCATCGCCTGGATACTCCAAGTCTCGTCCCCACGTCTGGGCCCTGAGCTTGCCTACTGGGGCAGTTCATCTCTTCCAAGCTGGAACACCTGAGATTGTCCGAGAATTTGTCTCCACGGCCAACTACTGGAGTGCGCGACTATCCAAGCAACCGCTGGTCGGAGGCATCAGCAACATCGAATATGGATGGAGTGACAGTGTCATCAACAGTGCGCTGATCGGTGGTGAAAGTCGATCCCCGCCGCCTTCGTCAGGTGCACGACCAAGTATTCAAAGCTCTATCCGAAGTTCTGTCGATCATCAGGGTGTGCGACCTCGACTCCCCGCGGATCGGGTCAATATCAGTGATTGGAGCCCGCCACAACAAAGCATGGTCGCCTCCAATCTGACAGAGGAGGAACAGTGGAAGGCTCTGCAAGCCTACGTGCAGAATGTGGAAGATGATCTTTCTCGCCACAATGAGCTACGTCCTGCGATGAACCTTGCATTCTCCCCACGCCACCCCAACGCCGCTAAAGCTATGGCAAACTGGGAACGGAAATCATCATATCTATTGCGTGAGATTGTTAAGTTCCGCACCTATATCGACTCCCTCCGCAACGCCATCAGTTCTAAAGAGAGAATTTTCGCTTCAAATGCCCACTCCCAAGTTGACGAGAATCCAATCATGGAGCCTACCGAGGCAGTGTAATTTCACACTCTTCCTCTCTCTTCCCTTCGAATAGTGTACATACCCTTTTGTGGGGGGGAGGCACTATGATATATATCCCTTCAAAAGTGACCTGTTACATTGGTCTGTTATTTTTTTTTTTTTTTTTTTTATCTTTTTCAACCTTTGTTTGATGCGACCTTGTCTAGTATACCTTTTTCTTTTTTTCTCCTTTCTACGGTTCTATGACGGCGTGTGATTACTGATTATTTTGTTTAATGCTTGGGAAGGTGATGTGATGCTATGGATACCATGATTGTCGTTTCTACATATGAATATCATTTTTTATTTCCAGTTACGTGTAAACTGTTTTAGTGAGAGATATATGTGTGGCATTAATGTATTTGGTGTAGATAGTATGTGGCAATATCGATTGATTTTGTGTCCATATTGTATTGCCAATTGCTCTTGCCAAATATTCAAATATTCATGAACATTGCAATTTACATTGCAATTTACATCGTTTCATTTTTTCATTCCTCAATATTACAAGTTTCATTTCAACTTTCAACTTTTGATACATCATAATACAAAATGAGCGCTCATTCGCCGATCGAAGCGGGTAGCGAGATGCAGGGAGTGGATACCCAAACACTGAGCGTCATCTCCCCCATAACAACGCCCTCTGTGTTTCAGGCAGATACCTTGAATGATCTCAGTTCAGAATACTTCATGGCAGAGGAAGCACCGGGGGATCTTCCCCCGAACTCGGTAACACAGTCCCAATCTGAATACGCGCAAACTCCCTCAGAGCCCGATGAAGACCAAGATCATGACCATGACCATGACCCTGAATTTACCATGACATCGACACAACTAGATCTAGATGATCACAGCTTTATTCCTTCTGTTGACCGCGACGAGAGCAGTCTATTCCATCCATCGAGCGAAAATGGCGACCATGAACGCGGCAATAACCAAACCCTAATCGAAGAGCACGAAATGCGCCGCAAGCTGATGGACATTGAGTCAAGCTTTCTGCCGGAACCCTCGACAATCGACGTGGCTGCGACCGGGCCTACTGCTGGCGCGGATGATACGTACCTAGTTGGGGTTCCAAAGAATGACACTGCAGAGACAACGCACGACTCCTCACAGCTCTCATTCATAGAACCAACCGAGACAACCCCGATAGAAGATGAGGAACACAGCGAGCAGCGGAATAGAAATTTGGACTCGGCGCCTGGCCCTGCAGGCCAACATGCGGGCGATTCATTGCTTGATTCCCTCTCCTCGTCACCTACGGCAGCTGCAGCACTGCGCCGAAATCAATCCACATTGTCCGAAAATGCGCGAGAGACCGGCCAGCTCTCCCAGGAGGAACGGCCCTTTCGATCTGAATTCTCCATGGCCGAGAACGAATCGCAACTCACTCCCTCAAAGCTTCGAAACACCTCCCGCAGTCTATCGCCCGGTGCGTCGCACCTATTTAGTGACCAGAGTGGCAGTGCTACTGGTAGTCGTAGAGCTAGCCGACCCAAATACCTGACTAGTCGACAATCAGCCCATCGTCTCTCACACTCCTCGGCCGCAAGTAACAACACCGAAACAACCAACAGCGATGCCACACTAGGCGCCGACTATGCCCTTCAAACTGGAGGCGCGACATCTGACAACTATGGAAGTCTGCATGCTGGAAGTCGTGCACAGATAGCCAGGACAACCAGTCTTGGTAGCATGGCATCTGGGATCTCCGGGTATAGCGAAGAAAACCCACTTGATAAACGGAATGCGCCTGGTCCAGTGGACGGTGGCCTTCATACGCTGGCAGAGGAAAGCTCGCCACATTCTCGTACTGGCCCTGTTGATCACGAAGATTCAACGCCGGTGACACCAAAGGCGAAGCCACAAGACAGCAGTGTCCCTACTGATACAGCGATCGCCGAACGAGTTAAAGGCATTCAAATTCCAACCACGTTTGTGCAGCGGTTCCGGGAAGACTTCCAAGCCTCCCCGGATAATAAGCGTTTGGGGGCCTCGACCCCTGCCTTTGCGAAAAGTGGCCGGAACTTGACCCTTAAGGAACAGAGCAGCACCATTGATCGCTTGGCGAAGGAAAACTTTGACCTGAAGATGCGAATCCACTTTCTTAATGAGGCGCTGAACAAGCGATCCGAGGAAGGCATCAAGGAAATGATCTCGGAGAATGTTGAACTCAAATCAGACAAGGTCAAGCTGTCGAAGGACAATCAAAGCCTAAGGCGCAAGATTCGGGACTTGGAAAAGCAAGTGAAAGAGCATCAATCGGACAAGGATTCTATGGTTAATCATGACCCCGAAGCATCAGAGGACGGTGATCGCGACTCGGCCCAAGACGAAGAAATCGTCTTCCTACGTGAACGGGTTGAAACCTATGAGCTCGAGATTGAGCGTATGAGGTCGGAAACCATTGCACGGGAAAGTGAAAAGCGACGGTTGGCCGAGATGGTCAAGTCACTTAGCGATAATCGTGCGGGGGATTCCGATGCAGGCGCGAGAGAAGAGCGAGTAAGTCAGAACACAGTCAAATCAGAGCCAAGCTAATTATCTACGCAGGAGATGTGGAAGGATATGCTTGACGCAGAAACCTCAGCGCGAGAGCAAGCCGAGGAAGAAAATCGAAGACTTCGAGATGAGTCAATTCGTTTACGGAGTGAGATGTATTCTGTTGCCAAACCTGGCCAATACGACTCTCTTTCATACACGTCTGATAGAGATGGCAACCGAGTTCCCACCGTTCCCAACAGCACGCTTGTTGTAGAGCTGGGGCTCCTGAAGCAGGAGAACGCAGAACTAAGAAAAGAAGTTAGTGCTCAGACTTCAATGCTCACATCTCGCAACCGAGAAAAGGAACGTCTTTATCAGGAAATCGAAGAATTGAAGCTTGGAGAGCGTCGTCATGTTGGCCGATCCATAGCTGGAGACAGTATCTTTGACCGTTCCGCCTCACGCACTCATGTCCGACCATCGTCTCAAGCCAGCGACGGAACGGGTATGTCACGCAGTGACATGGACCGTGATGAACTCGAAGCTCGGAATGGACAACTACGGGACCTAGTATCGACCCTCAAGCTTGAAAATCAAGCCATCCGAGCCGAACTTGAGGACTATATCGCAGAATTAGAGGCTCTTGATAAAGCATATCAGGCTGATGTTGACCAAGCCGAAGAAGAAATGCAAACCCTACAGCAAGAACGCGACCAGGCTGTGCACATGGCAAACGAACGAGATGCTGCTTTCCAAGACCTGCGCGCCGAAGCGCAGGAAGAGTTAGATACACTTGGAGATGAACTCGACCAGAAGATTGTTGAGTGCCAGCGCATGAATGAGGACCTGAGAAACCAGGATGAAAACCTCAGGGCTTTGCAGGCTGAGATGCGGTCTGCTAACGAAGGCATCATCCGCCTCGAGGAAGATGCACAGAACAACCTAGCCGCATACAAGTCTGTGCAGCAAGAGCTTGAGGAGGCCAATCGTGAGATGGAGTCTATGGAGAAGAGCCTGTTTGAGGCCAACACCAAGGTGCAGCGGCTGACGGTGCAGATTGAGTCGAGCCAGAATGAAATTGCTTTCCTTCGCGAAGAGCAAGACGGCGATAAGATCCGCATCGGAGACCTCGAATCAGATCTCAAGAACTACCACATGAGTTTGGTTAGTGAAAAGGAGAAGACTAGAGAACTCGAGCAGCGACTGGCAGATGAACGTCACCAGCGAGAGGTGGTTGGAAGCAAGGAGAAGCAAGATGTTCAGCGTATCATGAATGAATTGAACCGCGAAGCTTCAGCTTCCAAGGAGGAAGTCCGCCGTCTGAAGAAGAGCCTTTCAGCCCAGGAGATTGAAACCTCCACCTGGCGAGAACGGTTGATGGACCTCGAAAACAATTTGCGAGAAACTCTGGGTGATCTTAGCGGAAGCCGGTCTAGCTTGATCACCAATATCATGAAGCTGCAAAAGGAACTCGAGTCGACCGCCCTTGAATTGGAGAGCATCCGCTCGCAGCTAGATGAGAAAGAATCTCTGCTTCGAAACCGCGATGCTCTGCTCGAGAGTCATGGGCTTGAGTCACGCAAACTCTCTGAACTCTTGGATCGCGAACGACACGCACGCCGAGCCGACAAGCAGTCGTTTGAGTCATCACTCAAATCCCATCAGCAGGCATCGCGGACCATTACGCAGAGCAATTCCCGTATCACAGACCTGGAAAAAGCACGGACCGAGGACCGCAAAAGATACGCATTGCTGGAACAGCAATTCAAGGATCAGCTTAGCGAGAGGAACACCATGTTCCTTAACATTTGGAAGAGATTATCTGGGCTTTGTGGGCCGGACTGGGCGCACTCCAACAGTCTTATCAATGGCAATCTCCCAAGCCAAGAGGTGATTGGTAATATTCTGTTCTGGCCGGGCTTCAGCCGCAATCTTCTGCTTGCAATGAAGACTGTGGAAACGGTGATGGCGGGCTTCAAGACTCGCATCAAGAGCATCGACCACGAGTTGACCAAGCGTTATCACACGCTTGAACTGTCATATAACGGACGGATCAAAAAGCTCGAGCGTCTCGAAGAGGCTTTGAAAAATATGCGATCCGGCCGCGGACAGTCGAGCTCCACGCCGGAGATCTCTAAATTGCGTGGTGAGAATCGTCTTCTCAAGGCTGAACTCAACCTGCTTCAATCCAACTCTCGAGGACAGGGTCCTGCGGCTACAGTCATAGCACCGGGACCCCGATCCCCTTCTTTGGCGTCAGCAGCAGAGTCGGAACGATCCTTGGGGCGTTCTAGCTCAACGGCTGGCACTGAAAAACCTCGCCCTGAGAAAAGCCTCGCCCGCAGCGTTACGGGACTTCCACAGCCCTCTCACTCCTCGTCCAGTAGCACTTTGACCAATAACAATGCTGGGACGATGATACCACGCACACGCAGCTCACACAGTGGCTGGGATGGTGGTGACGAGAAGTGGATCCACAGGCTGCATGAGCTGGAGAGGCGACTCAAATCCGAACGAGAAGGCCGTCTCCTAGACCGCAGTGGCGCTCGCAAGCGACTCGAGGAGCGCGATGCTGAGAACCAGAAACTTCGAGATCAACTTAGCCGGGAACGTACGCGGCGTGGACCTTCAGGGAGCATTGCAGATGGCAGTCGCAATCGTCCTCCTGTCTCAGATGAGGCTCCCAGCTCCAGTGAAGGGGAAGGAATCACCGTCGATATCGAAGTTTGACATTGTGATTTTCTCCTGTACTATATATACCCACCGTCTGTTTGTGTTTCGCTTCCATATTACACTTGTAGCATACCATATGCTTGTAATGATCATTCACGAGGGTCACGAGACGAGGAAAGGCGTTTTCATTTTATTCGGGTCACAACATCATGAGGGACTGTCGGAGTTTCCGAGAACTTGCTAAATTTATTTCGTTGTACTTTATACACGTCCATATGCTTTATCCGAATTCAAACTTATGTATGATATATCCCAACCTACCGCAACGATACCTTGAGCGAGAAATCCACAATCCCCGTACCCTGATGGATCGAGCTGGTAGACAAGATATCGATATCGGCACAGACATACGCCGGCGCATTCTCTTCCGTCAATCCACCACTCACCTCAATCAAGAAAGCCTTCTTTGAAGCCCATTCGCGTTTCAGCTGCGCCGCAGCCTCCCGCACTCCATCGGGTGTAAAGTTATCCAACATAATAATATCAGCTCCAGCCTCAATCGCGGCATTAGCCTCTTCCACACTCCGACACTCAACTTCAACCTTAGTCGAGAACCCGCCAGTGGCCTTGGCCGCCTGCACAGCGCGCGGGATTGCCGCTGCAATAGACTCAATCGATGACGGGTCCGCAATACCGCCGTCTGCGGCAGACCGGTTGTTCGCACAAGCCCAAACATGGTTATCCTTCAGCATGGTCATCGAGCTCAGATCATGGCGATGCGGGTCGGCACCGCCAGCAAGCATCCCGTATTTCTCCACAAGTCGGAATCCAGGCGTTGTTTTCCTTGTACCGGCCAGGATACCTTTCCATCCTTGCGCACGCAGCGCAGCGAGCATGGAGGCACTCTTGCTAGCTATACCTGAGCAACGCGCGAGGATATTTAGCGCTACGCGCTCGCCGAGGAGGATTTTGCGAATGGGGCCGCGCACGGTTGCGCAGTGCTGAATTGGAGTGATCGCTTCGCCTTCTTTGATGTGCCATTCGATTCTGAATGAGTCAGAGAGGTAGGGTTGAAGTTGGGGGAAGTTAGATAGAGGAGTTGCTTACGTGCAGCCTAGTTGCGAAAAGACCTCGTCAAAGAATGGTACACCTGCAACGATGCCCTGGGGTTGATTAGTTAGTGTTCCTCTCGTGGATAGATAGGGATTCCGCTGGGTCATAGACTCAAATTGCTTTACCTGGCTCTTTCCTAGTAGTCGGGCCTCACCCTCTGACTCGCCGACAACAAAGCCGCCATAGTCCAGGCTAGGGCAGTCCTCTTCCAGCCAGGATGTTATCAATCGTTTATAGTTGCCGGGGAGTAGATGGCGCAGATCTCCATGAGTTGAGGCCATTGTGAATATAGCAGGTCAAATCAATTAGAGAAGTGTTGATCTGCGATTTCAAAGTTCCCCATGCGGGGTGAAAGAAAGCCCGGGTTGGCCCGGGTTGGCCCGGTCTCAAGATCACGTGCCATGGGACATATATTCCCATTTACCAAATTAATAATCTGTTAAAAGCTCCAGGGCTTCTTAAGGTCTACACGGAGTACGGAGTAAACAAATACTATATCCGTCTTCAATGTTCTAAGTGGATAGTTACGGGAATACGGCACACTATAGTTCGTCACGAGGGTTCAGTGGAGTTTCATTGTGGGCCAAATACATTCAATTGTACGGAGTATTTGAATACATTATTTATGAGATTATTTATGAGACTTCAATTATGAAATTTATGAGATTTGTGTTGAGATAATCACATGAAATAATCTAATCCCGAGAGAAACACGGCCCGAGTATTCCCATTTTACGGGGAATTCGGCATTTTGTGTTAATACTTTTGTGTCCACACAGTAGGTTTGTATAAGATATATATACCTCCATAAAATCTCAGGTACAATTATGTACTGTTATACTCTTTAGGGATATTCAATCCTTCCACGCCTTGTAAACAGTCTTGCAACCAAAGATCTGACCCTTCTTCAGCAGAACCATGGACCGCCATTCAGGTTCGTTAATCGCATTCACGAACCGGCTAGGTTCCACACAGAATCCAGCTCCCTCGTGGTGCGCCGGCGCACCATTGATCGACGGCACATCGATGTACTTGCCAGTGTAGAACTGGAACGCAGGCTCGGTGCTGTGCACCTCGAGATGTAGGCCCGTGCTTGCATTGCTGAACTGTGCCAAGCGACGAAGAGGTAAACCACGAGTGTCCAGTGGAATTTTGCTAGGATCGGACTCTAGCACAAAGACATCGTCGATGTGTGCTCCCGTTGCGGAGAGTGTGAACGGGGTGGTCACGTCGCGCGGGAACTTGTCAATCCCACCTGTGGGGATGCCAGTGCTATCGATGGGTAGATAGTCGCCTGTGGCGAGCTGGGCAGTGGTTCCCGAAATATCAGGGCCATCGCCAATGTTGAAGTAACTGTGAGAGGTGGGGGATATTAGTGGATAGCTCTAAAAATTTTTAAGATTGATGTCGTCATCAACTTCGAAAGGGAGGTTCTGGATCTTTTACCTGTGGTTGGTAAGGTTGACTACAGTCTCCTCACATTCATTGCCAATGAATTCCACCTCGTACTCAGCTGTCAGTACAGTCTTGGCGTCATCCTCCTTGCTGGCGGTGTACCACACGCGCACCTCAACGGTACCAGGGTACCCCTCTTCACCATCTCTGTGGAGGTACTTGAACAGCAAGGCGTCGTGGCCATTGCGCTGGACGGTGTGTGGACCATCAAAGATACGCTTACCCCAACCCTTTTCACCACCATGCAAAGCATTGGGGCCATTGTTCTGGGTCAGTTGGATCTTTTCGCCATTCAAATCCTGAATCAAACCATCCTTGATACGGTTTGCAACGCGGCCGATGGTAGCACCGTAATGCTGGGTGTTGTGCTTAACATAGTCCTCTTGCGTAGGGAACCCCAAAACTATGTTCTTGCCACCGACACGGAACTCTTGAATGATGGCGCCCAAAGGCAGAAAGGTGAATGCAGCTAATTCGGGGGCGGACATGTTTTATTTTGTTTTGTTTTGTTTTTTTTTTTTAAAGGAAGATGGTGGGAGAAGGAAAGTTCTCCCTTTTCTAATGTCGACATGACGTTGTAACCCCGCAATCTACGGGATGAATCACCGACAAATATGTTCGAAATTTTCTTTTTTGTTTAGCATAAATCATGATCTTCAAGGCATTTAGAGGTGTTATAGCCCTGGGAGGGTCCCGATTTTTAGTTTGATTAGGCTAAAAGAGCCCTAGACGGCTGATTTGTCTTGGATTAGGGGGTAAAGCTCAACTGACATAATCCATCTTTAAACCCCACCTTTATAAGTAAGCCAGATCACCCAAAACTATATACCTAAGTATCAATTAAAAAGATATAAAAAGAAAAGGGCAACGTGTATCGAATTGGTATTCTCTGAGTAACCTTAGTACTTTACATATCACGCATAAAGCGGACATAGCCCCTCGGCGTTAGGGTAAGTCAGCATCCGGTCGGAGGGAACGTGGTCCGGCGTCCGAAGGGATCTATACCCCGGACTCGTGTCGGCCCATATTGAAAAAAAAAAAAAAAATAAGAAAGAAAGAAATGAAATGAAAAAGGAGACATGCCAAGATTAAATAATTGGCGGGTACGGAGTGTATGAATAATAAATGATTGGCATTGGGTTGGCATTAGATTGGCATATTGGCATCGTAGGCAGGCGTTTTTTTATATATATATTTTATACGTAGTAGACTAGTAAGTATTCCGTAAGGCTTCTAAAGCAGGTTTGGCGATAAAGGGGTTTCCGAATACGAATATATGGAGTAACGGAGTAGGCCAAAGGGATATTTCAAAGCTTCGGAGCATTTGACCCATAAAGGAAAAATCGGGAGTTCGGCGACTTCTGGAAGCCAAAGGTCTCACGTAAGCAAAGCAAAAATGGCTCAGTGGAAAATATGTAATATCCGCTGAGTCATCCTTGAAAGCCCGATCAATAATCAAGAGAACTTAATTTTCTTTTTTTTATTCCCGAATTATCCCCGTTTCATTAGTCAACGGCATTTTACTCCGTGTTTTGATCTAGTAACCTTGAAACCAAAAGTAAATTAGAATTAAACGCCTTGAACCCTTTTGAAAAAAAAAAACTCCCCAAATCCCCGAAATTCCGAAACCCGGTTTCACTGTACAGAATTATCCCCAATTGCGCCCCGAATCCAAGAAAGCTTGGGGGAAAATAGCCCCAGAAGAGAAGAGAAGAGAGAACATGTATACTAATACATGTATCACGTCATACGGCGTTAAAAAAGAGTCGAAAAAGAAAGCCCCATAAATAATAATAATAAAAAAAGGCTCAAATCGAGGTGATCTCCGTAGGATTGGGATTGAGGAACTGGTTGAAATCGTCATAGTCGTTCTTGGAATCCAGATATGGTCCTTGAGATAAGCAGTTCATAGGCACCTGACGATTGAACATAGGCGATGATAGTTGGTCATCAAAGGGCATATTGGTGTAATCGGCCGTAGACATCAAATCCATCTCATCGAAAGGATTGAACCCATTACTAGGCCACTGTTGCGGACCCTGCAAAGCCAAAGGGTTAACCACACCCTGCATGGACATGGGTTGGGCGAATTGCGGGGTGTTGGGCATCTGAGGATGAGGCTCGGTCTTGATGGGAGCACGTGTCGAGGGACTATACGTTGGTGGGGTGGGCGGCATGTGCTGTTGGGAGAAAGCATCGGATGAGAAGCGCGAGCGAGGGACTGGTGACTGGGGGCTATCGGAGCCACCATCGGAGGATTCTTGACGTTGCATGCCGGCGTTGGTGTGCCATAGATCCTGCTGTAGAGCTTCGGGATTTTCTTCGAAGCGCTCGCCCTTGGAGCCGTCGAGGGCGCCAAGACGCATGAGTAGGTCGTGAGTGAGTGGGTGACCGTTTGGTTCCGGTTTCAACTGCTCGCCAGGCCAACCTTCGCCTTCGATATTGCGTCGGTATAGTTCCTGAAGGCCATGGACCAACCAGGATTGTTGCTGTTCAAGCATCTCAACGTATCTATATATGTAGATAATGACCATGGTTAGTAAGGAATATTCTTTCTTGAATATGGCTCTTTTTTTTTTAGCTTACCCCTTCGGGTACACTTTATCATGTGCCTTTTTGCGCTCTCCAAAGACACAAATGGCATTATCTGCACGACAACGAGAACAAGGACTAGATCCATCACACTGTCCGGGTCAGTGTATATTGGAAGACGATGTGTCTTTTGTTTTTTAACATACTTTGGATTTCTTCAAACGACATCGATCGCATGCTTTGCATACTCTTTTACGGACATTGCTATCCGAATGCGAGTCTGATGTTGGTGTTGATTGTCGAGCTGCCATTGTGTAGTGTGATAAGAGAAAAAGAGGAATGAGCTATACTTCAATAAGATCCTCGTTAATGATATCAATATAATGACGTTAACCAAGCAAAGAAGATATCCTTGGGACTAAAAAGAAGAGTAAAAGATAAAGTAATTTCCAAGGTATGGGATTATAGAACATATATATTTTTTTTTTACAAAGAGGGGGGGTTTTATTTTATTTTTTTAATTCTTTTTTTATTTATTAGAGTCATGGACTTTAGTATAACGGGAATCGAAGATCATAAATTACATGTAAAATTACATTCGGCTTTTGCTGACGGAGCTCGGAGACTTTAAACTTTAGAATCCGAATGGACTATAATTCCGACCATACATATTATCTATGTCTATGTATGTCTACTATGTATGTCTATATTCTATGTCTATATTCTATGTTTATATCATATGTTTATATATTATATAGGTGTATATTGTGAACATACTATAGATATATATCTTATACATGTACAGATGTAAGTAAATGAGAATAAAATATGAACATTCTTGGCAGCATAATCAATATAGTATAAAAAAGGAAATCGGCAAGCCTATGCCGAATTCCACCCGGCTCAATATGTATTCCGAGGTATTTTATATAACTTACTATAACTTACTATAACTTACTATAACTTACTATATATTTCAAAGCATCACCTTGGACTTACCAATAAAAAGTCCATGACGTGACCATTTCCCAATATGGAACTAATGTCCCTTTTCGGACTTTAATGATTTAATGGCCTAGAACCTCTTCCTTCATCTTTTTCTACTTCAAAAGCTTAGCTCAATACTTACTGCATTTGGAAATATACGACGACCTAAAAAATCTTGGAAACTCCCCGTCCACGGGTATCTCTGACAGCGGAGACACATTCCGAGTCCATCTTTATCTGTTCCCGACAACACCCATTGCCTATGGAGGGTATATAGTATCTACATTCGCTTTTTGTTAATTTTTTTTTTTTTTTTTTTTTTTTTTTTTTTTAATAATGGAATCTCATTTCTTTTTTTTTTACACTTTTCCTAGCCCACGAAACCAGAGGGGATCTTGTATTCCGTCTTTTTCTTTAAAAG